GCGCATTTTAGAAGGTCTTTCGTTTTGCATGAGCCGRACATTGTCAGYGGTCTCTTCCTCTAAATTAGCATCTGCGCCTGCTCAGACACGAAAATCCAAGATRGCGGACATCAAAACAAAGGTCAAAAATTCCGAACTTTCAAGGGCTTTTACTCAAAAACTGCAGGATTTCAGAGGTGCCAACAAGCATATTTGGATTCTGTAATTTTGTTGATTCTCTGTGTTTTTAAATCTCTCTCAATCGAGTTCTGCTGATATGGTCTTGGTTTCAGTGAAATCTCCACACTTTTTGGCAAAAAAATCACACAGATTGTTGCTTTACCCCATATTTGCGCAGTATTTTCAATATAGCATCATCTTTTTCTTGTTGTCGAAATGTCAAAAGCGAAAAGTCATGCATCCTGTTTCATAACAACTGAGCCTAAAAACGCTTGACGAAAGTAAATTGCTTATCATCTTGGCAAATCGATTTCCCGGATGTGCAGAATTGTCGTGAATATTTCCTGTGCTTTGATTTCGCTCTCCTCTGAATTTTTCTTGTGATTACTTTTTCTAATCATTATCAACTTGGAAGATAAGTKTTTGAGAAAAAGATTTCGATGTTTCAACAAATATTTTGGCACTTTTGGAGTATGGTTTTCCTGTGGTGGTACACGGACGCCCGGAAGGAAGGAAGGAAGCGTGCGTACGCGCGGGAACCCTGTGTCGGTCCATGAAAATCGACTCAATGGATACACCATTTTTTCTTAGCTATGGTGCTCCACTAAAAAAATTATGCTTGATTGAAGCTAAGCTTGCACAAAAGAGAAAAGAAAACTGGAGTATTACGGCGATTGCACGACCGAAAGTAGACATGGAAAGGCAATAACAACTGATTTGTACTGTGGTCAACAATGGCTCCATTTAGTCTCCATTTCTATGTAAGGTGAATCCAATAAGTGTTATTTTATTTCCTTTCGTCGTGCAATCTCCCTTCGACAATCGCCGTTCGCCGTTCTCCCCGACAACGTTTTTTAGCTGCGTACATCATAGCTGTATGTGTGCATGAGTTAGAATACACTATTGAAATCTACTTTTGATCTTTATAGCGTGGCCGGGACGTGCGATCGTTCAGCAGTGTTTTAACTAGGACTTACTCTAGTATGAAGTAATGCCAGTTCAAACTCAGATTTAGCGAATTTTTTCCCCGTGTATACATTCATGCAGTAAAAAAGGCAAAAAAGAAGATTTGTTTACGTTACCATCACTTCAAATTCACTAACAGGTAATTTAAGCGGGCAAATCGTCTTAAAAGAGAGTTAGTTTTGCTTGAAATCTTACAAATGTTTTAAAATATACGAGATAAATCCATGTAAACTGCTGATAAATGAAAAACAATATTCACATCCCAGATCAAGGGAATTTTTTCCAATCAGGGAATAAGCTAGTCTCAGTCTCCAGCCGTCGGGATGTCGTGCGCCCGCGATACTCTCTCCCCTGACGGCTGGGCGCATGGGGTTCGCTATTGTCAGTCTTGACCAGCGAGTGGGCCCCGATATTTTCAGGGGCATATCATTAATAAATTAGCAGGCAGCAATGTAATGGCGTACAATTCGTCGTTTGAGATTCTCTTTGAAAGTGCTTGTTTGAAGGCTCTGAAGTCGTTTAGCTTGGACGAATTTAGAGAAATACAGCAAAAGGCTCTTAAAGAGATTGTTCTTGGAAAAGATGTCCTTGTTATTCTTCCAATACTGGCTCGGGCAAATCTCTTATTTTTCAAACAGCGCCACTAGTGTATTTTGCTCGTTTTTCTGGCAGATAATACATCCATTTGGATTATTAAACCCTGCACATGTTTTACTTGGGGTAATTTCCATTCCTTTCTCTTTCTTAAAGCGCTAACTATTACATTATATCGCTACTTCGCGAAATGTTCATTTCACATAATTTCCCGCCTTGTAGCAAAACCTTTACGGCTGTTGTCAGATATTTCACTTCCGTTCACTGAAAAATTCACTTCCGTTACGTCATAATATGCTAATTACACAAAAACGTCACGGACATTCGCGACACGTTTCGAACCCCATGCGCCCAGCCGTCAGGGGAGAGAGTATCGCGGGCGCACGAAATCCCGACGGCTGGAGACTGAGCCTAGGAATAAGCGCGCTCATGCTCAAATCCTCAACATTTGCCCAAGACGTGCATAATACCGGCATGATTTCAAGGTCTTCACTTGATTTGCGATCTTTTTAACCAACACATGATGCACTAGACTCAGTCAATAGCCGTCGGGCTTTCGTATCACCTCCGCGATACTCTCTCCCCTGACTTTTTATTTGAAAAGTTTTAATAAAAGTGTCGCGCATGTCCTTGTTATTCGTCAAACGACTAGAGCGTTCACACAAACATCTTCAAAGCGTATCTCAAACAGTATTTCGTCAACAGTGTTTTCACTGTATGTTAATTAATTAATGATATGCATTTGCCCCTCGCGTAGAAATCTCGACTGCTGAAGACTGAGCCTAATGATGCACCTGCTGATATAACAATATATTTTAGCGTCAAGAACCAAATTATGTGTATGAAATGCATTTACCAAATTCTCCTTCTTGTTTATGCATGTATGGATCCTGTCGACTGATAGCAGAGAACAATGGGAGACCATCACACGTACCATTCACAAAAGTGATATTATCTATTGCCATATCACTGGTGTATGACTTTCCGACTCGTCCCATGAATAATACCTGCAAGAATGAATTAAACTTGAATCCCGTTCTATACCGAACTGTTTATTAGCATATGACTCTTTATAATAAAGTCAGTCGGATCTAAGYTCATTCAATCGAAATATTTCTATTTTTAAGAGGGTTTTAAAACGTTATTTAAAAAAAGAAATTTCAAAGTGTAAAGAATATAAAGTTAAAGGTCCTATCACAACTAGTTTAATTTCCGTTTGTTTTGAACTGAGCGTGCTTGTTTTGTGACATAAGCATTGATTTAAAGGAGCACTGTCAATGGCACGCATGCGCGAGTAAACTTGAAAACATTAGGCTAGTGTTTTCAAGTTTATGACTCCAAGTTGGCGCGACATAAATCAGCTCGTAAACGTAAACAAATCTAGAATATTCCAAAGTGTGTCAAAAGCGCCACAAAATGATTTACCTCGAAGGTAATACTTTCAAAGTCCGTTAGAGGTGAGACTGTTACCGCGCATGTCATCCATTGACAGTGTCCCTTTAAAACAAATTGTTTAAAGATTGAACTATTACTACAAGAAGAATAACAGAAATCCCTGCAGCCGTWTCGAAGAAAATGGACTTTTTGTGATTTTTTAATAGGCTGTACAATTTTAGCTATTATTATTTATCTCCAGTAAAAATATTGTGATTCTTTCGATTTGAAAGTTATAGAACTGAAATTTACACAAACTCATTTTGACAAATTGATGTTACGCTACGCTGACTCGTGAGAGATCTTTTCAACRCTCGAAGATAAAATCCGTATCTCCGCGCTCCCATGTAATATCCTCTATATATACCTTGTTTATTCTATGTWGGTCATATTTTCGGCTCATGTTTGAGCCGCGTTCATATCTTTATTTCTGCCCGAGCTTTCCAACCAAATTCATAGCCCTTCATAGCACATGTAGTTTTATGAGATATACAAATTCTGATAAATTCATGATGATCCGACTGTTTTTTTTAGAGTAAATCGTCGAAAACTGGAATTATGACTGTTTGAAAATGCGCTGTATCTTTAAAACCAGCCAATAAATTACTAAATACTGACAACTGTCAAAAACTGCAATAATCACTGCATGTCGAAATTTTAGCACGTTTGACTAAATACTTTTGCGAAGCGAGCGAGTTAAAAAAGTACAAAATTTGCGTTTCATTATTTGTGATCCACCTTAAGCATCGACGACGGAAACGAAGACGGATTTTAAACAATAGTACTTGTAATAACGTTAACCTACGATGTCATTCATTTTGATAGTTCGAATGTATTTTTTATTATGATTCAATACTGATTCTGAGGACGACGTTTGGGCAGAATAAAATAAAGAGTTTTTAGTTCTTTTGGTTTTATAGCCGAGGACGCATTATTAGTGTACATTTTCACGTACAGTAGTCATATTCTGTAATTAAGGCTATTGTTTGTAACGTTGGCGTCTACTATTGAACTAAAGTAGCACTGTTTACGTTCCGCAATGTTTCCGTTCCATTCGCTTTCATGATTTCCTCAATGTGCATTTTTTAAAGGCATTTTTTAGTTTTTAGTATTTTTGAATCAAAAATTTCTTCTTTATAACAATATTTCAACAAAAGGGGTACGCAGCCCACCCATAAATCCGCACCTGTGTGTTTAGAATGTAAGATCAGAGTGATTTGAAGAAATGATAACGTTTCCACGTAGAGGTAAGAGGTAGGACAAAAACTACCGAGCAAAAAAACGCAAATGTTTTTGGCAAGTCGAGTATAGTCTTTAGTAACAGCTGTTCTATATAAAAAGGTTATACCTTATAATTTGTGCCGTACACCGTAACGTTAGTAGAGTGCCATCCTGAACCTTGGTTTTTGTAGCGTCCCCACAAGAATATCATTGTCTTGTTATCTTGTACATATATCTGTAAATCTCCCATGAAACGACCGTACATACTGTAATGAAAGCGCATGCATAGGGTACCATTTAGCACTGGGCTAACAAGGCGTGCTATTTCCCCTGGTCTTCTAGGCCATGACGCTTCTGTGTACACATAGCTACCTAGGATTCAATGCAGTTTTACTATAACTAGCGACAAATTCAAATTATTTAGATGTCACTTTATTGTCACTATGATTACATTCTTACCTTTTCCGCTGACGTCAAATTCAGGCCCAGTACTGCTGCTTCCGGTCCGCCCGCTATGTCTAGTCCAGTCGAATTTGTCGTCAATTAAATTTTGCCAGTTACACCAGTCCTTGTCAAAGTCGCAGTCTCCTGGTTGTGGTAAGGCTGTGAAAGTGAATACACAAAGTGATTGATAAATACCAAAATGTATGCACTAAATTGASATTGGTTWCTTTGAAAAWCATTGTAAACGCAGTGCATGTATTGCATATAAACTTCCAAAAATCGAATAGAAATCGTGATAAGTGTATGTATGTAATACGTAATTCGCTTTAGAATATATTATTCT